CTAACAGTAACTTCGCTCCATGCTACACCTATTACTTATTCTTGTTTCATACGCTTATAACTAGCTAGTCTTCCCATGGTTTGTCAACGGGAGTTGTGTGTTGGCCTTGTCCTCGCTTGGGCGGAGCCGACTTCGTGGTCGGTTGTGAGGGGAGCAGCCGACCTGCAGCAGTGGGCGAGCTGGTTGGCGAGGAGGTCGACCTGCACAGGGGCCACTGCACGGGCGCCAACTTCAGGGTGGCGCCGACTTCAGGGAGGTCGACCTGGGAAGTCGACCTATGGAGGGCGTCGACTTGGTGACGCCAACTTGGGGGAAGCCGGCTTGGTGGTCAGCTGACAGGCCTGCTGGTCGACTTGGTGGTTGGTCGATCAGGCGTGATGTCGACATGGTGGTCGACCTGACCTTGGTGGTCGACGGAAAAGGGGCCGACGTCGACCTCGACTAAGGACGCCGAGCAGTTGGGCGTCGAGTCGCCGGGCGTCAACTTGGTGACGCCGACTTCGGGTAGCCGACTTGGATGGTTGGCTGATACTGCGCTGGTCGACATGGAGCTGGTCGACCCAGAGTGACGTCGACCTGGAGCTGGTTGACCAAGGGTGTGGTCGACCTGGTGAGGACGACTTGGAGGTGGTCGTCGACTTGGGAGGTCAACTCAGCACGCCGATCATCTGCAAGCACTTGAGACGCTGGTGCGCTGTCGTTCTACGAGAGCAACGGTGGCACGCCGTCAACCTGCAACGTTGGCATGCCGTCGACTTTGCACTGCTGGAGCGCAGTCGACCAAGTCGTGCTGGAACGCGGTTGACTATGCTGTGCTGGCAGTCGACTGACCTGAATGCTAGCTCTGATGTAGTCTTGCCATGCCAACTTCATTGTACCATTGTTGTCAACTTTCTCTATTGAAACTCTTGCCAACTTGCCTCGTGAACTATCAAACCGAGCTGTGCACTAGGAAAACGACTAAGAACCAACGAACGCAGAGATCACACGAGCACCCGTGCCTAGCCTGTAGTCTAGCTCCCGTTGTAGCAGTTATCTCCGCATGGTGCAGTGAGCGTGGACGGCACACGACTTATCTTTCAGTCAGGTTGACGTAGTAGCCACTTACCTATTGTGTTCGTCGACCGGCAGCTGTGCGAGTCACCACCATGGTTGGCATAGGTGACGCTGGTGTTGCAGACACCATGGAGGCACGGCTGGAAGGGGCGAGGAGACGCCATGAGGCGAAGGAGTTTGGCGACCTCCCGTGGGCAGTTGTCGAGGCTGGCATCTGCGCCGTGTGGGCGACGGAGCACCCTCCTTCTCGGCCTGCTTCTCCTCGACCGGTGAACACCGAGGGCGGCGTCAACGTGGGCGTCAACGCCGGTGGTGGCCAAGTCGGCAGCAGTGCGGGAGGCACGTCGAGGCAGTCTGGTGTGATTTTCGCCGATGAAGTCAGCGGCGTTCAGGCGCGAGGGGTGCAGTTGTCGGCGGCAGTAGGCTCCTCGCAGGGTGACGTCGGAGGACGACGAAGCGGATTGTCGCCGATGTCGGCGACTCAGGTGACGGCGGGCGGGATTGCACCGAGCTATGGCTACTTCAAGTTTACGCAGGATAGGATCTTCGTCACCCCGCCGCTTGTTGGTAGACCCGACATACTCATCAAGAAGGAAGCCATCGAGCCCCAGCTGGAGATGGCCGGGCTGATCGGCTTCGCCGGAGGGACCGTGGCAACGCCGGATGAGCACCACCCCGACTTGCGGGCGGAGTTTTGCGCTGTGCAGCTGTTGACCTTCACGGTCATCTCGCGGTGCTGCTCGGAGGGCGTGCAGGTCGCCTTGAAGTGGTGCCGAGAGTACCCCGACGCCGGTCACCAGGCGTGGCACTTCATCGAGTCGACCTACCAAGTCACCGACGACTTGTTCATCGCCCAGCTGGAAGGGCAGCTAACGCACCTGCGTATGGGCGACGAGGAAACGGCGACTGACTACTGCAATCGGGCCCGGCGAATTCTCGCCACCATAAGGATGCCCGGCGCGCAGTACTCGACGGCATCGTACGTCACCCACGTCATGCAGGGACTCTCGAGCAGCTACAACCTCCTGAAGCGGCTGTCAATGGCGCCAAGCACGAGGACGACGCTCAACGAGGACAACTTGACCTCGTACATCCTGCAGGACGAAGCAATGCAGGAGGCTGAGCGATCCCTGGCGCAGGCGAACTTCGTCGCCCCGGCGAAGCAAGGAGGTCGACCAGGGCAGCGCGGACAGTCTGGCGGCAGAGGTAGTAGTGGCTGGAAGCCAACCAAGGAAGTCGACAAGAAGAAGTCGACCAAGGACATTGGTCAAGGAGGAGGAAGTTGACGTCGGGAGTGCTGGCTGTGCGGCGACCCCGACCACCTCTCCTTTGAGTGCCCCGACCGCATTGACTCCGGCGACGACGACGCCAAGGGAGGCCGCGGGAGGTCTGGCAGTTGTCAACCTCGTCGAGGAGGAAACAAGTCGCGCAAGGACAAGCAGTCGATGACGTCGACCTCGGCGAAGGATGCCGACTCCTGTGCTGGTGGCAAAGGGCGAGACGACACGGAGGCGTCGTGCTCGTTGGTCGGCGTCGTGGAGCCGACCGTCTCGCTGGCGCCGGAGGCCGGAGAGGACTTCCAGGCGGTGGCGGCAGCTGTGCAGGCAAACTCGGCAGTGGTCCTGCTCAACAGCATCTGCACTCACCACCTGATGGGGACGAAGGAAATCTTCGTCGACCTGCGGGCGAGCGGCTCCATCAAGCATGTGCGCGGCTTCAATGGGGCGCTGCAGGACGTCCAAGGCTGCGGCACTGTCGCCCTGCAAGGGGAGGATGGGGAGCATGTGCTCATCCCCGACGTACTGTACGTCCCGGGTGCATGGTGTGAAGCTGCAGGAGGATGGCAACGGGATGCTTCTCGTCTCGGCAGCGGGAGAGGTGCTTGGTCGGGCGACGTACTACGGGCGTACCCTCTGCACCGACCTGCGTCCCTGCTCAACGAGGTCGACGTCGGCCACGCCGGAGGTTGTGGCCCTGAGGGCGATCGTCTCTAAGACGAAGTCGACGCCGGCCAGGATGCATGCAAGACTTGAGCACGTCGGCATGGACACCATACGGAGCTCGGCGAAGAACGAGGTCGCCATTGGGCTGGACCTCAAGTCAACAATGGGGGCCGACTCACCGTGTGTCTCTTGCGTCGGCGGGAAGCTGGCTCGACACACCTTCCCCGACCAAGGCTCCGACGCCGACGACGTGCTGGCCGTCGTGCACATCGACCTGTGCGGGCTGTTCCGCGTGGTTGCCAAGGACGGCTGCTCGTACTGCCTGCTGCTCAAGGACCGCAAGACCCGCAACGTGTGGGTGAGGCTGGTCGCCAAAAAGTCGGATGTGCTACTGGAGTTCCAGAAGTGGCTGGTGTTGGTGGAGAGGCAGGCGAAGAAGTCGGTGCTGATGCTGCGCTCAGACCAAGGAGGGGAGTTCCTCGGGAACAAGTTCACCGACTTCGTGGATGGCAAGGGGATCGTCCACGACCTTACCTTGCCCGTACACCCCGCAGCAGATCGGCATGGCGGAGCGGGAGATGCGGACGGTGGTAGAGACGGTGCAGACGATGCTGCTGCACATGGGCGTGCAGCACCACTGGTGGCACCTTGCTCTGCGGCAGGCCGTCTGGGTCCGCAACTGCCTTGAGAGGTCGACGCTGTCGCCCAGGAACAACACCGTACCAGCTGCTCACCGGGCAGAACCCCAACTTGTCGCTGGCGCGGGTGTGGGGCTGCATGGCACAGTTCCTCGTCCCCGAGCAGCAGCGTGGTGGAAAGTTGAAGCCGAAGGCCAAGTGGGGCCTTCACCTCGGAGTGTCGGAGAAGAGCAAGGGCTAGGAGCTCCTCGACATCGCCGACAACCGGGTGGTCACCACGTTGGACGTGGTGTTCTACGAGGATATGTCGCTAGAGGAGTGGAAGTCGGAGCACGGGCAGGCGTCAGGACGGACGCCAACCACCCCGCCATCCAACTTCTCGACGGCGACGCTGCCTCTGCTCGCCAAGGATCGGTGAGCTTACTGGTGAGGACGTCGAGGTCGTCTGTCCTCCTCCCCCTACGACCCCTGCCCCTCCCCTTGTGGCCGACCTGCACAAGCTGACTCCTATGTCGACCTCCGGCGATGAGGGGAGTAGTGGGACGTCGCCTTTGGCGCCGGCCGAGGGCATCGCCGGTGGCCGACGTGTCGAGCGGCAAGTCGAAGAGGGATTTCAGGCAGAGGAGGAATAGCCAACTTGGGTGAAGCCGACGACAAAGACACCAGTAGGGTAGTAACCGACAAGGGAGCAGGCAGAAAGTGAAGGCGACCACGGAGCAGTCGGCAACCAGGCAGTCGGCAGAAGAGCCGACTACAGGGGAGAGGTCGACCAGGAAGTCGACCGAGGTGCAGCAGGATGACGAGGGCAGCGAAGCTGGTGACAAAGGGGAGAAGTCCACCGACAACGACGTGGTAGAGGTTCGGCCTAAACCCCGGAAGTCAGGTCTACTTCGGAGGCCGCCCGACTTCTTCGTCCCTGCTGCCTTCACCACGGTGTACGACGTGGATGACGACGACCTGGCGTATGACGACGCCGAGGAGGATGAGGAGTTTCGGGAGCTCGACCCCGACATGCATGCCGACCCCGAGCACCATTGGGACATCTCGACGATGACGGTGAAGGAGGCGTTGGCGAGCTGGAAGGGCCTGGCGGTGAAGGCCGCCATGGAGTAGGAGATTCACAGCCTCATCAACATGGGCATTTGGGAGCTGGTCGAGCGCCCGCCGGGAGTGAACATCATGAAGAACCGGTGGGTGTTGACGACGAAGTACCACGTCGACGACACCGTCGAGCGCGAGAAGGCGAGGCTGGTCGTGAAGGGCTTCACCCAGGTGTATGGTGCCGACTACGACGAGACTTTCGCGCCGGTGGGCAGCTATGTCACGCTGAGGATCTTCCTCATCATCGTCGCCGTCCTCAACCTCAACCTGATGCAGCTCGACATGAAGATTGCCTTCCTGCAGAGCAAGCCAGCCGCAGAAGCAGCGTGGTGACCGCTGTAGCGCACGTGCTTGTAGCGGGTGGGCGAGGCGCAGCGAGGCAGGCGTGAGTACCTGGTGCAAGGACGTGGTGTTGCGTGTGAGCCCGTGGCACAAGGCCGTCCAGCACAGCACGGCCACGTCGCAGGCGCAGAGGCGAGCAACGAGGTGGCGCAGGTCGATGGTGCGCACCACGGTGGGCGGTATGGCCGCCACTCGCAGCACGTCCGCCATCGACACATAGTCCTGCCTGCACTCCGCACTCCGCACCCCGCACACCGCACCCCGCACACCGCACAGGGGACATGGCATGGGGGCGTTAGCAAGTGCACATCACGGTCATGCACGCACACGTCAGGAAAATGCGTGCAATGCACATCAGCGCGTGCGAATGTGAATCGACGAGGAAGCAGGCTTAGGGGCTGGGCGCGCGACGTATGGCGCGCAGCAGGTGGCGCGAGTACACGGCCCACGCGGAGTCGCGGAATGTGGCCGGGTCCAGGTTGCCGCCCAAGCCCGACTTGTGTGGCAGCTTGGGCGGGATGACGAGCGTGCGGTTCAGTAGCGCCGCCATGTGCAGCGCGCCCGTGAAGCCCAACACCTTCAGCCGGGTGCCGGGGGGAGGGGGCAGGCGGGTGGGGGGAGGAGAGGGAAGGGCTTCATTGACGGGGTCAGTGAGGGGCGGCAGTGCGTGTAACAAGATTCAGCCACCGAATGTGGGACTCAGCCTTGCCGCAATGCGTTGAAATAATGGCTATTTAGGCGCCCCCAAGATAGAGCGTTGATAGCGCGGCGGGGCGTGCGACGGACCTGATTGTTGAAGCCGCTGTGTGACGCGTACACAAGGAAGCGCTCGTCGCTACCTAGCGACCACTCGTCGCCGCCCTCCCCGTCTCTCCCGGCCTTGCTTCCTCCCTCCCTCTCCTGATCTCTCTCCCTCCTTTGCGTCACTGCCCCTCCCACACCCCCGTTCCACGCCGTCGCGGCCCCCATCAGTGCAGCACGGGGTGCGGACGCCACGCGCAAGCTGAGGCCCGCCAGCACCATGGCGATGGAAAGAACCACTGCCATGGAACCTAGGAAAAGCGCGCGCTGATTCATCTCAAACCGCCTCTCAATCAGTGATGGACGGGCCAAGAAGCACCATTTATGATCGCGTAACCACGTAGGCGGTGTTCGCCAGCCAGCGGTATACATTTGGCAGGGCTAGTGCCAAAACTTTGTAGTAAAAGGGACCTGGTGGTAACTCGAATTACAGGGCCACTCCACTTCTATCACGAGCGACCAAGTCTTTCCCAGCCCCTCTCACCACACTCGATAGTTGTAAGGGAAATTCCTTTTCCTTACTTCGCGCCCCCCTACTCAACACGTACATCAGTATAGCACCACAGTCAGCACCGTTACCACTCGCAACCCTCGCTTCGACAATCCTCCCGCCACCTTCGCACGTCGCACCCCGACCTCACGGCTCGGTGGGAAACCCGCGCTCCAGGCCTCCGCCTCGACATTTCCCAACCACAGTCCCAATCTCAGTTCCAGGCCCGTCGCGCGTCAACCACAGTTCGTTACCGTTACCACAGTGGTCTTCGCTATTTAGTTATCGCTCAATCCTTGGCTCATTGTACTGTTTTGCTTCGATAGTGCAATTCTCACTCGCTCGCTCCATTGCACTCGTAACACTTGGTATCCATAGCCTACGATCTCCTCTCGGACCGCATCCACACCTTCGCTTCCCCACACCCGTCCGAGACAGGGGTCCTACTATGGACATCGCCCTCGGGGACCGATCGAGCACGCCACCGTACATGCCGCTGCGACAAATGCAGCTGCCGCGCCATTTAAGGGGCGCTGCTTTGCTTGCAATGGGCCGGGCCATCGCAAGAGTGAGTGCCCAGATAAACTGAGGCGCCGCGTAGTAGAGCAGGGGAGGGAGTCTCCAAGGCAGGGAAACGCCAGCAGTTAGTAGGAATCGGGCCAACTACTGACGAGACTGCCTGCTCACCCAACCTCACCGCCCCTCACCGAGTCACAGTATCGATTCATGCTATCGATCAGGCTCGGACAAATAAGGAGGGTGCAGTGACTGGATTGCCCAGTACTGATCCACAGGGAAAATACAGGGAGCAGCAGTGAAGATTTTTATCGACGGAGGAGCAAGTCACAGTTTAGTTAATACCGCAACCGCACGGAAGCTGCAACTGACACTTAGCCGGTGTTTACCAAAGATAGACGCACGCTTAGTTCACGGCACATCACTGGCCATACGGGAGAACGTGGAAAGAGTAAAACTCCGCTGCGGGGGGAATTTCAGGGTTTACACAGGAAATGCTCGCGACGACACTGGATGGGCACGACATTTTTCTGGGACGTGATTGGCTGCGACGGTATAATCCGCGAATTGACTGGACGGGTAGCTGCACTGTGCGAAGTAGCGGTAACTGGGTCGAGCTACCTTGCTGGCAGTCGCCGGAGTCTTCAACGGTACACGTCAATGCCGTCACCATGAAACGGGCTGTCGCCGCTGGAGCTGACGTGTGTGAAGAATGAGGGATGAATGAACTAGCAAGCAGGTGGGTACAAGTAGGAAAACCTAGAAGTGTTGTACCCCATATTGTCTACCCCACTATAGCCTACACAGACTATATTATAAGAGTTTGACACACCCCCATAGGCAAAGTGGGGGAGAACAAGAGGTCACAAGACCAGTCAAGCAAAGCAAAGCAAGCTCAGGGTGGATCACAACGTCACCACACAGTCCGAGCACAAGAGCAAGGCCAGAAGGCCTGTTCACATGCAAGATCATATATAAAGGTAAACAAGCAAGTGCAGGTATAGAAAGATCACAGTACAAGCAAGGTCAAGAAGTGAGCAAGTGAGGCCAAGTAGGCACAAGACCTAGCATCATACAGAAGCACTGATGATCACAAGGCGGAAGTGCCTTGGTAAAGATATCAACAGTGTTGGCCTCAGAGGCCACGTAAGCAAGGCGCAACTGACCACGCTGCTACAGCTCACGAGCAAGGAAGTAGCGAAGAGCAATGTGCTTTGTTCTGTGCTCCAGTCTATGCTCCCAACACAAGGCCAACATGGCCTTGTTGTCTACGTAAAGAACTGGAGGAGAACGAGGCGGCTCTCCTAGGTCAGTCAGCAAGTAGGTGAGCCAGCGTAGCTCTTGTGCAGCCATGGCCCCCGTGTAGATCTCAGCCTCACAGCTGGAGCTGAGAACAGAAGACGAGCGGGTAGACCGCCACGAAACAGAGCCGGAGCCAAGGCTGAAGGTGTAACCCTATGACGACCGCTGCAGAGCCTGGTCCTCAGCCCAAGAAGCGTCAACAAGACCTGTGAGGACCACTCGACGTCGCCCTCCAAGCACTAGCCCCATGCCCGACGTACTGCACAAGTAGCGCAACACCCTCTTCGCTGCAGCCATGTGCTCTGGTCTGTGTCTCCCAGGAGCAACATAGCATGCCAAGATGCTAAGAGGGTATGCAAGGTCAGGTCGTGTGCAGGTCATCAGGTATATGAGGCAGCCAACAAGCTCTGGGTACGGGCCACTCGGCTCTAAGGCAGAGCTGAGAGCGAGTGGCAAGTAGACAGAGGAGTGGCCTGAGGCGAGGAGTACGTGAAGTCGAAGCGCTGAAGGACCCGCTGCACCATATGTGACTGAGTCAGGGTAATGGTGTGCTGTGCTCTGTCCCGGGTGATCTGCAAGCGAAGGTAGCTGCGCAGTTCACCCAGGTCTGTGCACGTGTGTCTCTTCTGCAGCTCGGACTTCACGTGGGCGAGTCCAGCAGTATCAGCAGTGGCAAAGACCAAGTCGTCGACGTACACGAGGATGTAGAACAGCGGCAAAGAGGTGTCGGTGCGCAGAAACAACGACGGGTCGGCTGTAGAAGGAGCAAACCCAAGAGCCGCAAGTGTAGTCCTTAGTGTGTCGTGCCACTCATGGGGCGCCTGGTGGAGACCGTAGATGGGCCGCCGGAGGCTCCACTGGGTACCAGGAGGAAAGGACCCAGTGAAGCCAGGTGGGCGGCGCAGCCAGATCTCCTCGTGCAGGGCTGCCCTGCAGGAAAGCAGTGCTGAAGTCAAGAGAGTGAAGCTCGTAGTCGCGCTGAGCGGCTATGTGCAGCAGCACCCGAAGAGTGGTCATCTTCGGGGTGGGAGAGAAGGTCTGAAAGTAGTCAACTCCCTGCCGCTGACTGAAGCCATTGAGCCACGTAACGCGCCTTGAAGACAGGTGGAGAACCCGGCGGCCGCTTCACCCTTAAAATCCACATGCCACAAACGATGTTCGCCCGAGGTGGGGGAACCTCGTCGACGTAGGTGCCTGTGGACTTCCAGGAAGCCATCTCTGCGTCCATGGCTGACTGCCACTAAGAGGAGTAGGGACCCTCGATCGCCTCAGCGTACGATCGAGGAGTCGGGATGTCTAGGTGCATCCGGGTCTCCCTCAGGGGCAATCAGTGTGGACACGAGATGGGGCAAAGCAGCAGCAAAACACCTGAAACTCCTCCTGCCTGTCCTCAAGGACGTCCGTGCTAAGAGCACACTCACCCCCGACGGACGGAGGACAGACAGACTCAGACTCAGCAACAAGACTAGCAGCGTAGTCTAGACGACAGCGAGCAGCAAAGTCGAGAAGCTCAGCAACTAGGGCCGACGCAGCAGTGGACTCAAAGGAAGGGTCAGTGACAGCAGTAGCCACGAGACGCGTGACAGAAGGACTGGCAGCACGAAGAGAGTCAGACTCCGGGTCAGCAAGAGTAGGAAGAGAGGACTCTGGAGGAGACGGCAATGGGACACGCAGAGGAGCAGTGGAAGGACGCAGTGCCATCCGGTGTGTGCCTGGGACCACAGGAGAACGCGGACGCGCAGTACGACCACTAGTGCGAGCAGCACGAACAGGCAACGCAGGACAAGACGCAGGCTCACGACGCTCAGCAAGACCTCCAGTAGGACCTGTGTAGGGAGAAGGAGCAGGTAGGGGGGAGGCGGGCTGTAACTGTGACTGCGACTGGACAGGCGGTGGACACGCTAAGGGAGGGGCAGGACCAATGGAAGGCAGAAGACCAAGAACCTGCTCAAGGAGCGGAATGAAGTACGGCCTCGGTCGCGCAGCACCTCCAGAACCAACAGGGACAGCACCAGTACCTCCAGCGGAAGCACCAGCGCCAGCAGCACCTCCAGCTCCAACAGCGCCAACTCCAGTACCCTCAGACGCACCAGCGCCAGCAGAAACACCAGCGCCAACACCCCCAGCAGCTCCAGCCCCAGTAGCTCCAGCAGCACCATCTCTAGCAAGACCGGCAACTCCAGTACTGCCAGCAGCTGGGCGGCGCGCGCTGGGCGTGATGGGCGGAGTGATGGGCGGCGCGCGCTGGGCGTGATGGGCAGAGTGATGGGCGGCGCGCTGTCGCCCCTCGACGCAGGGGACGCAGGTAGGGCCAGGCCCCGGAGGTAGGGGAGGGAGAGATCAGGGGAGACCAGAGACAAGGACACGGGAGGCCATGCCTCGGAGACGAGGCAGGGAGGGGTGACCAAGGCGGTGGTGCCAGAGGAGAGTCTGGTGGGACAGGAGATGACACGAGCAGGGAGCAGACTCAGGACCAGACCTAGGACGCTGCAGCAAACACCTGACTCGACGCAACTACCTCGCCAGACTTCAGCAGCCGGAGGAGACTCAGTAGTAACGGTGTACAGGCTCGACCCTGGCCGACGGGTGAACGTGGTCAAGTGTCGACTTGTCCAAGCACACGTGCAGTGGGTCACCCGCTGACTCGCAGGAGTGAACTAATCAACCCCCCTATCCTGTAGGTCTGCTCCACTCACCAAGTTCGTAGAGAACGAGGGGAGGTAGAGACCTGACAGGGTGCCAGAGGGGGCTGCAGGGTACGGTAAGACAGTGGAGAAGCTAGCAAGGACAGGACCCCCAGAGGGGTCCGCCAGGGAGACTGCAACCAACCGACTAAGCGGCGTAAGCGTGGTGCGGTCTCGAAAGAAAGAGCGGGACGCACCCGAGTCAAGGGTGAAGGTGTGTAAGGCCTGAGCCGACGTAGTACCTGAGAGAGCAGACTCACCAGCACCTGGGGCATGCAGACAGCACTAGCACCTTGGGCAGCAGACGCACTAGCACCTAGAGTAGCAGCCTCACCAGCACCTAGAGCAGTAGCCTCAATGCCCGGGCCAGGCGGTACACACAGGTAACTGTCACCCTCAACACTAGTAGTCACAACATACATGGCAGCAAGGATAGCATCATAGTCAAGATCGAAGATGGCAACCCCCGCCCTAGACAGATCTCCCCAGCGAGGGATCTCTGACGCCTCAGGGAACTGGTGACGCCACGCGTCCGTCAGGCGGCCGAAGCAGCGCTGGGTGGAGTGCGGGCCCCCGCACTGCTCACCAGTACGGTCGCCGGTACGGAGGACGTAAGTGCAGGGACCAGTACCCCCAGCGCGCTGACGCGCAGCGTACCACTCACGAAGCTGCTGAGGGGACAGGGTCTCACGACCGCACTGCTGCTGCTGGACGCGGACCACCACCGGACCCACTCCTCTGCGCAGAGTTGTGACCCGCTCCACCGCCGCCGCCGCCGCCGCCTCCGCCGCCTCCGCCACATCCGCCTCCTCCGCCACCTCAGCCGCCTCCGCTCCCTGCACCACCACCGCCGCCTCCTCCGCCTCCACTGCTGCCACCGCTGCCTCCGCCCCCGCCACCACTCCCACCACCACCCCCACTCCCTCCACTGCCTCCACCACCACCTCCACCGCCCCCGCTAGCCCCTCCAGTTCCCTTGCCCCCCTTGCCCTTGCCGGTGCGGCGTCTCCCACTAGGGGCAGACGCAGCGCCCGCCCCGTAGAAACCAACGAGGTCGGCAGCAGCAGCAGAAGCAACAGAGGGCAAGAGGGGCGAGGGGGAACACCCCTCAAAGACGGGGGTGCGAGGGTCACCACGAGAGGCTCCTATAGCTACTATGCTCTTCTCTGCTGCTAGGAGGCGCTGCTCGAGGAGGTCAACGGTGAGAGTGGTGAGGCAAACTAAGAGGAAGTGGTCCCTTGACTAAGCAAAGAGATTCAGGGAGCCAGATGACTATGTAGTTAAGGGTGATGTACATGGGGGGGGGGGGGTTCTTGGCGCAGAACTCAGCAGGAAGCGCAAGCGCGGTAGCGAGTGTCACTAGTGCGGAGGTGCGTAATGAGGTCAGCGACTGTGGGAAAGGCAGCACGGTCAGGGAAGAGGTACGGTAGCATGAGGCGGCTCAGTGCAGCAGTGGCAGGGGAAGAGTAGCGTGCAACTACAGCGTCGTACAAGGGTCTGAGCACTCTTGTACTGGCTAAAGTGTGCACGCTCAGTGATCGGTAAGTGGCGACGCACTAGCAAGACGGGCAGCAGCATCGCGTGTCGCCCACTGTGAGCGAACAGTGCTGTTAGCAGTAGCAGGCGGGAGGCACCAGAGGTCAGGTCGAACTGAGAGAGGCCGTCTGCCCTATCGCACTGGAGGAAAAGCTGGAGGTCATCGATCCAGACCTCAAAGTCAACAGCACGACCCTTAGTGTCAAAGGTAAGAACACTGGGGGTAGCCATGACTGCAGAGGTCTAGCAAAGAGTGAGGTCACCAGTACGAGTAAGGAGGGCCGGGGCGCGCCGGTAGGACTGGTAGCAGCTCGATGGCAGGGCGGCTCGGCGGCTCAGCTGCTGGGCTGCTGGGCGGCTTGGCTGTCGGGCGGATCGGCGGTCAGCTGCTGGGCGGCTCAGCGGCTTGGCTGCTGCGCGGCTCGGCGGCTCGTGCGGCTCGGCGGCTCTGCTGCTAGGCGGCTCGGCTATCGGGCGGCTCGGCGGCTCTGCTGCTGGGCGGCTCGGCTGCTCTGGTGCTCGGCGGCTCGGCGGCTCCGCTGCTGGGCAGCTCGGTAGGGGCGGCTTGGGGCCGTTTAGGGACGGCGATAGGGCCGTGTAGGGGCGGCCTCGGGGCCGCTTAGGGTGAGAGGCGGCGACGGGGCCAGCAGGGGCGGCAACGGGGCCGCTAGGTGCGGCGACGGGGCCGCGTATGGGCGGCGACGGGGCCCGAAGAGGTGAGGGGCGACGACGGGGCCGCTGGGGGCGGCGACGGGGCCGCTAAGGGCGGCGACGGGGCCGCGGAGGGGTGGCGACGAGGCCGCGTAGGGGCGGCGACGGGGCCGCGTAGGGTGAGAGGCGGCGACGGGGCCGCTAGGGGCGGCGACGGGGTCGCTAAGGGCGGCGATGGGGCCTCGGAGGGGCGGCGATGGGGCCGCTAGGGGCGGCGACGGGGCCGCGTAGGGTGAGAGGCGGCGATGGGGCCGCTAGGGGCGGCGACAGGGCCGCTAAGGGCGGCGACGGGGCCGCGGAGGGGCGGCGACGGGGCCACTAGGGGCGGCGACGGGGCCGCGTAGGGTGAGAGGAGGCGACGGGGCTGCTAGGGGCGGTAATGGGGCCGCGTGAGGGGCGACGACGAGGCCGCTAGGTGCCACTAGGGGCCTGGAAAGGGCGGCAAAACGCGCGCCTTGGGCAGGAGCGATTGGCGCTCCAGTCAGAAGGGAAATTTTCAGTGGTGGGCCCAAGGTAGCGTTCCCACTAGGGAACCTGCTCTATACCATGTGAAGAATGAGGGATGAATGAACTAGCAAGCAGGTGGGTACAAGTAGGAAAACCTATATTGTCTACCCCACTATAGTATAAGAGTTTGACAACGTGTACGCAGTAGACGTTGCAGTGATAGAGGCAGCAGAGCAGCCACGTAATTTCAAGAAACTGTTGGCAACGGTACCGCCCGAAGTACGGGAACTGTTGAAACGATACCCGGGATTTTTTCCCGATGACTTACCGGAGGGGCTACCACCTCAGCAAGCACACGACCACCGAATAGAGTTAGAACCAGGGGCACAGCCAACCGTACAGCGACAATTCAGACTGACACAACCCGAGCTCGACGAACTGAGGAAGCAGTTAGATTACCTGTTAGAGAAGAAATTCATCCGACCAAGTTCGTCACCGTTCGCCGCACCGATACTGTTCACACCGAAAAAAGACGGAGGGTTTTGCATGTGCATCGATTACCGAGCACTGAACAGGGTAACAGTCAAGTCGCGATACCCCATTTCCCGCGCCGACGAACTGATAGACCAACTGCAAACAGCACGGGTTTTTTCGAAAATAGATTTACGGGGCGGTTACGATCAGATTAGAGTCGACCCATCGGACAGCGCCATGACAACTTTTAGGACTAGGTACAGGTCAATCGAGTACACCGTGATGCCCTTCGCGCTGACCAACGCACCGGCGACATTTTCAGATGACCATGAACGAGGCGTTTAGGACACTTTTAGATAAATGCGTGATAGTGTACCTCGACGACATCCTCGTCTACTAGTCGCGACAAACAACAGCACTTAACCGATCTAGAGGCAGCATTTGAAATTTTAGACGAGCACCGGCTTCTGACAAAGGGTTCCATGTGCGAGTCTTTTCAAGACAGGCTAGAGTTTTTGGGGCACGTTATTTCGGAGGCTGGGGTAGAAATTGACTTGAAGAAGCTGGACACAGTCAAAGCGTGACACAGGAGGAAATTCGCAGCAGTTCGCAGCAGCAAAGGGAGTTTATTATGTAAAAGCTGGCACTGACTGCATCTGGGTACCAGGGTGTTCACAACTACGGGAATTACTGTTATAGGAAGCACACGACGGAGTTACCTCGGGACATTTCGGGGTAGAGAAAACACGGCAGCAGCTGCAGCGGTATTATTATTGGTCCGAAATGTTGACTGACGTACAGCGACACGTGGCATCGTATCCCACTTGCCAGCTCATGAAATCATCACGGAAGCGGCCGGCAGGGCAGTTACAGCCAATACCACGCCCAGAGCGTGCTTGGCAACAGGTGAGAATGGACTTCGTCACGGGGTTACCGGTCGGAGCGAGTGGGAATGACGCGATCCTGGTCGTCGTCGATCGCCTGACGAAAATGCCACATTCTGCAGCCTGCAATAAATCGACCACAGCCGAAGAAACAGCCCGCCTCTTCATCTCCACCTTCGTTTGATTGCACGGGATACCAGCATCGATCATCAGCGACCGTGATACGAAATTCACGAGCAACTTGTGGCGGAACCCGTTGTGGAAAAGTGAACGAGAATGAATGAACTAAGAATGAAGTGAGTACAAATATGAAACCCTAATTGGGTTGTACCCCCTATGGGATACCCCACTATAGCCTACACAAATAAGTAAGCTATAATGTTCTGACACACCCCCATAGGCAAAGTGGGGGAGAACAAGGGGTCACAAGACCAGTCAAGCAAAGCAAAGCAAAGCTCAGGGTGGATCACAAAGTCACCACACATTCCAAGCGCAAGGTCAAGGGCCACAAGGCCAGTTCGCATGCAAGATCATATATAGAGATATACAAGAGTCAAGCAAGCAAGAGCAAGAGTATATATAGGTCAAGGTACAAGCAAGGTCAAGAAGTGAGCAAGTGAGGCAAGACAGGCACAAGACCCAGCTGCGTGCAGCAACGCTGATGATCACAAGGCGCAAGTGCCTTGGTGAAGACATCAGCAGTGTTGGCCTCAGAGGCCACGTACGCAAGTCGCAACTGTCCACGCTGCTGCAGCTCACGAGCAAGAAAGTAGCGGAGAGCAATGTGCTTTGTCCTATGCTCCAGTCGCTGCTCTCGACACAAGGCCAGCATGGCCTTGTTGTCTACGTACAGGACTGGAGGAGAACGAGGCGGCTCTCCAAGGTCGGTCAGCAGGTAGGTGAGCCAGCGAAGCTCCTGAGCAGCCATAGCCCCGGCGTAGATCTCAGCCTCACAACTGGAGCCGAGAACAGAAGACGAGCGAGTAGCCCGCCACGAGACAGAGCCAGAACCAAGGCCGAAGGTGTAACCCTGTGACGACCGCTGCGTAGCCTGGTCGTCAGCCCAAGAAGCGTCCGCGTGCCCAGTGAGGACCACTGGACTGCGCCCTCCAAGCACTAGCCCCATGCCCGACGTACTGCACAAGTAGCGCAACACCCTCTTCGCTGCAGCCATGTGCTCTGGTCGGTGTCTCCCAGGAGCAACATAGCGTGCGAGAATGCTGAGAGGGTATGCAAGGTCAGGTCGTGTGCAGGTCATCAGGTACATGAGGCAGCCAGCAAGCTCTGCATACGGGCCACTCGACTCTACGGACTCATCCGAAGGCAGAGCTGAGAGCGAGTGGCGAGTAGGCAGAGGAGTGGTCTGAGGCGAGGAGTACGTGAAGCCGAAGCGCTGAAGGACCTGCTGCACCATGTGTGACTGAGTCAGGGTAATGGTGCGGCGTGCTCTGTCCCGGATGATCTGCAAGCCAAGGTAGCTGCGCAGTTCACCCAGGTCTGTGCACGTGTGTCTCTTCTGCAGCTCGGACTTCACGTAAGCGAGTCCAGCAGTGTCCGCTGTGGCAAAGACCAAGTCGTCGACGTACACGAGGATGTAGAACGGCGACAGAGAGGTGTCGGTGCGCAGAAACAGCGACGGGTCGGCAGTAGAAGGAGCAAACCCAAGTGCCGCAAGCGTAGTCCTCAGTGTGTCGTGCCACTCACGTGGCGCCTGGCGGAGACCGTAGACTGGACGCCGGAGACTCCACTGGGTACAAGGGTACCAAGAGGGAAAGACCCTAGTGAAGCCAGGTGGGAGACGCAGCCAGATCTCCTCGTGCAGGCTGCCCTGCAAGAAAGCATGTGCTGAAGTCGAGAGAGTGCAGCTCGTAGTCACGGTGAGCAGCAACGTGCAGCAGTACCCGAAGAGTGGTCATCTTCGGGGTGGGGGAGAAGGTCTGAAAGTAGTCAACCCCCTGCCGCTGACTGAAGCCACGAGCCACGTAACGCGCCTTGAAGACAGGCGGAGAACCCGGCGGCCGCTTCACCCTGAAAATCCACATGCCACTGACGATGTTCGCCCCAGGAGGGGGAACAGCGTCAACGTAGGTGCCTGTGGACTTCCAGGAAGCCATCTCTGCATCCATAGCTGCCTGCCACTGAGAGGAGTAGGGACCCTCTATCGCCTCCGCGTAGGAGCGCGGAGTCGGGATGTCTAGTGCATCCGGGTCTCCCTCAGGGGCAAGCAGTACAGACGCGAGATGAGGTGAAGCGGCGGCCAGACACTGGAACTCCTCCTGCCTGTCCTCAAGGACGTCCGTGCCAAGGGCACACTCACCCCCGACGGACGGAGGACAGGCAGACTCAGACTCAGCGACAAGACTAGCAGCGTAGTCTAGACGACAGCGCGCAGCAAAGTCGACGAGCTCAGTGACAAGGGCATAGCAGCAGAAGACTCGAAAGAAGGGTCAGTGACAGCAGTAGCAAGAAGACGCGTGACAGTAGGACTGGCAGCACGAAGAGAGTCCGACTCCGGGTCGGCAAAAGCAGGAAGAGAGGAAGCAGGAGGCGAAGGCAAAGGGGCACGCAGAGGAGCAGTAGACGGACGCAGAGACATCCGGTGCGTGCCAGGGACAGGAGGAGGACGCTGACGCGAACCACGACCACTAGTGCGCGCAGTACGAACAGGCGACGCAGGACGAGACGCAGGCTCACGACGCTCAGTAAGACCTCCAG